CTAAAATAAAAAAAAATTATGACGTATGATCAAGGGACCAGAGAGAACACTCGCGGATAAAATTCGTCGCATTTTACAGGTTTCCATGGCAATGGTAGCTATTTCGAACCTGAATGACCACATGGTACAACTACCATCAGTGATCGTCCTTTGAGGAATGTTTCAGGAATATTGTCCCAGCCAACTCCGAGAAACCGCCTGGACAACAAAAACATGCGTACATTCGCAATATGTCGTCCCCGACTTCCTTTGTGACGACATAACTATAGAGTCTACTATTGCCAGCAATAGCGTATGTCGCCCGAACTGTTCTCCTATTTCCATGGCAACTATTGATAATTTCGGACAAGGCTTTAATTTTTTTGTATCACTAAAACAATACCCATTTGCTAGGCTTGGACAACCATCAATTCGTGTCAGTCGTTTCAGTACTTTGATTCCAAAATTAATGTTAAAGAATTTCACGTTCCTCTAGTTTCCATGGCAATAGCCGATTATTTGAAAATTTTGAATGCGAATCGCACAACTACAATTACAAATATCTAAAATTTAAAAAGTTTCATGACGAATGTTCAAGGGACCGGAGAGAACAATCGCGGACAAAATTCGTCGCTTTTTGTAGGTTTCCATGGCAACTGTAACTATTTTGAAACTGAATGACCACTGAATGGCACAACTACAACCAGTGATCGTCTTTTGAGAAAAGATTCAGGAAGATTGTCCAAGCCAGAAACAGCCTGGACAACAAAATCGTGCGTACAATCGCAATATGTCGTCCCCGACTTTGTTGAGTAAAACGTGGTGCAAAGATGGTCCAGATATAAACATTCCAACGACCCTTCTTTTTCAATGGTCAGTTTGCCAATGTTTTGTGGTTTTTAGTGAAACCAGATTTTTTTAATTTGATGATGATCACAAATGATGCAAATTACACAAAACACGTGCCGCAAAGTACAAATTTATTGTTTTTAAACTTCGTCTCGGAACATTGCTTTTCATCGGCGATACTTTATTTACTTTCTAAAGTTGTTGAAAAGACTCATTTGTTGTAATAATTTTAAAATATCATACCATTCCAGGGACGTAGTATCCGGGGGTCCAGGGGGGCATTGCAGGGGGGGGGGCCTGGCCCCCCCACTTTTTTCCCCAACATTAGCTTTACTTTAGTAAATGTTCATTGATAGGATGGTTGGCCCCCCCCCCCACTTATAACTATAGTATAGCAGGTCTGGACGATTTCTAAATAAGGAAGTCAAGAACGATAACTGTGAATTGCTATTAATACACGGAATAAACAAGTCACTAATCCTTCTGACCAATCAGATAACAGCATTTAGACAAACCCATGAGAAAGTAAACAAAACACGTGGTTTTTAAGTTTTTTGCTCAAAAGATTTTTTTAGAACAAACTTTTAGTAAACTTTATGCGCATTTGGGAATAATAATATATTTATGACAATTCTACCGTGAACAAACACGACTTGAAAGTTTAGAATAAGTTTTAAGTGTGATAAAAAATCTGTCTCTAGGAGGTAGCAATCCCAAAAGTTTAACTTACGTTAAAAAATTGATATAAATACGGCAAATTTTCAGTTTTAAGAGCCTGACATACAAATTCTATCGAAAAGATATCAGTCTTTATTATTTTTGAGTTTTTATTACAGAATACTAGCTAGTAGTCCATGCAGTTTCTGATATGCGAGGTAAGATATTGGGATAAAACGCATTGATGTATAATTACAGGATTCTCTTTTCTCCACATTATAAGTCTTTCCTTATGCCCATTTAAATCTGCAGAGCTAAGTTTTCGGCGCTCATGAAACCCGTGATAATTTAAAACTATATGTGTATACTCCATACGATAAACACTTGTGTGAGTTGATCTATACACATGGAATTTAAGCATTATCGATGAAAATCGGACGGCTAAGCAAAATTATATTTACCATCATATAATATATTCTGGTAAATGTTATAATTGAACTTGATACAAACTTGTTGGTGCGATCTATACCTCTGTAAACGATTACATTCTATCGTGCATTATTTTTTTTTAGCGAGATAAAAATGTCAAGGTTGTTCACGTTAAAAATGTGGGGAATACCTTATTCTTCAAAAGTTTTCATCTTACTTCTACAGATATTTTTTTGAAAAAAATCTTTTTGAGGAAAAAAACAAAAGCACGTGTTATCTTTTTGTTCTTTTAAGTTATGTTTTGGGGCGTGTAAAAATGCTGTTGTCTGATTGGACAGAAAAATAATTACGTGTACTTGATGTACATTTATAGCAACTTTCGGTTATCGTTGTTAACTTCCATATTTAGAAATCGTCCAGACCTGTATAGTGATAGCAAGGATTGTAAGGAAAAAATCGGAAGTGATAGTAAGTTGGCTTTGAAAAAGTTGACCAACTACCCCCCCCCCCCCCCCCCCCCCCACGAAATAGGATTTTCGAGTTTGGGCAACTTTAAAGTTTCGGTTTTTTTATTTTTTTTTATTTATTTAATTATTTTTTTTTTGCTTGTCAACTTTTTCAAGTAAGTAAAAAAAAATTTTCTCACGTTGGCCCCCCCACTTTCAAAAACGATGCTACGTGCCTGCATTCGATTTCTATAAAGTAGTTTTAAAATAAATACATTTTTTAAAGTGAACACTTAGAAGTTTTGTTGAGTGTGTGGCATGTCAAATTCACAACAATGAGCCAAACACAGTTTCACAGTTGATAAAATAGGTTTATCGACTGTAAACTATAGTTTACAAACCGTGAACTAAGTTTTCGTCTGTAAAACTATATTTAAAATTTGTTAACTATAGTTTACGAATAGTAATCTAAATTTATCTGTCTTTAATAAAACGTTTACATTAGATTTTATTGATAAATATAGATTCACGTTTGTAAACTATAATTTACAATCGTAAACTATAGGTAAGAATTGTTAATCATAATTTCACAAATCGTGAAACTATATTTATCAGATCGTTAACTATAGATAAGAATTGTAAACCATAGTTTACAAATAGTGAAACTATATTGAACAGATAATCTATGTTTTGCAATCGCAAATTATTTTTTCGGTGTTAAGTATAGTATACAGTTGTAAAACATAGATAATAGCGTTAATTATGGTTTACAGATGTAAAATATAGATATATAAAACTATAGTTTACAGGCGATAAACCTAGTTTATCGATTGTGAAACTATGTTTAGCTCATTCTTTGTGAATTTGGCGTGCCATAACTATGGTACAAATTTACATTAACATCTTTGTCTTTTTATACACAAAACTAACATAATATGTCTGCCTCTACAACAGAAAAGAAAACACATTAGATTATATTTATGTATATTACGGTCATCCTACTTCATTGGAAAAATCCATATTACGGTCATCTTAATATTTTGTTACGGTCATCATTGTCAAAAACTTTGAGGTCGTCCTACAGCTTTATTTCTATAAATTCAAGTAAGTTATAATAACCAATAGCAAGTTCTTATCAGCGTATATTTTAAATTTTGCAAGAATTAACACAGATAACCTGGCAAATGTTTAAAATCTTGACTGAAAAATTCTAACCGGTGACCTCAGCCGACATGTTTTGATGACCGTATTATATACTACGGTCAGCCGAATTCCTACAGTGATGATGGCTGTGATGAACAAGATTATTGAGCGGAAATAAAAATAATAATTCTGTTCAATTGTTTCAGTGGAAATATAAAAGTAAAAAAATTGAAGCGAAATAAAATAATTTGTACACACATATGAAGTGAAAAGATTATAATTGCATGTTGAAAATAAAAATAATGTGTATACATGGAAAAATAAGATTATCATTGTAAATATAAAAATAATGTGTACTTATGGACAAACAAGATTATAATTGTAAAGTAGGAATAATTATTATAATTTTGTGGTGAAATAAAAATAATGTTTTTAAACATCGACTAACAAGATATTATAATCATGAGGCGAAAAATTATAATAATGTGTCTACATATTGACTGGCAAGATTATTGTTGTAAAGTGAATCATTATAATTGTAGGACACAATTATAATAATGTGTACACATTAAACAGACAAGATTATAATTGTTGCAGGAAAATAAAAATAATGTTGTAAAAAGCAAGTTTGGATGAGATAATTATTTTTGGTATAGATATATAGGAAAAAATAATAATAATAATGTGGGGTACCCTACGGCTTTCCATATGGAAAGCCGTAGGGTACCCCCACATTATTATTATTTTTTTCTATATAATCATGCCAAAAATAATTATCTCATCCAAAACTTAAAATCCTGCTTTTTTACAACATTATTAATATTTTCCTGCAACAATTATAATCTTGTCTGTAAAATGTGTACACATTATTATTATTGTATCCTACAATTATAATGATTCACTTCACAATAATAATCTTGCCAGTCAATATGTAGACACATTGTTATAATTTTTCGCCTCATGATTATAATCTTGTCAGTCGATGTGTACACATTATTATTTTTTTGTCCTACAATTATAATGATCCAAACTTTACAATAATAATCTTGCCAGTCAATGTGGACACATTATTATAATTTTTCGTCTCATGATTATAATCTTGTCAGTCGATGTTTAAAAACATTTTTTTTTATTTCACCTCAAAATTATAATAATTATTCTTACTTTTAACAATTATAATCATGTTTGCCCAAGCGAACACATTATTTTTATTTCGCTTCAATTTCATGCCAATTTTATTCCACATCGATCATACAATTATAATCTGTCTTACTCCAACAATAATAATCGCGACCAAAAAAGTTGCAACATTATTATTATTTAGACGCTTGAAATCAAACGTTTCTGTGATTTTGATGTACTGAACAATTATAATCTTGTCAGATTTTCTTTGGGAAAGATTATTATTATTTGGACGCTTGAAAAAGTAAACGTTTGTCTGCCGAAGACAATCACGTGGTTTTTAAGGCCATGTGCTTGCCTAGTATCAACAGTGCTGAGTGCCGAGGACGGCGCCAGTGAAAGGCAGGCGGTTTGCCGGTAAGTAAAATTGATTTTGTTATATTAATGTACAAGGAAGTGAATTCCATTCATTCGATAAAGGAAATGTCTCAGAAATCAGCTGTCAGTATGCTGTTATTTATAAACGACAGCTTCGGAAGAACTAGTTCGAATTACCTCTGTACTTTTGTATAGGAGATTGAGATTGCATGCCATTGCATTGTGAATTTATGTTCCAAATCTAGATAAAGTGGCGTTAAGTTAAATGATATAGTGTATATATTTACTAACAGATATTTTTTTAAGTTTATTAATAATAGATTGTACTTTACAGTTTTAACTTGAATTTTCTCTGAAGTAAGTTATTTACATTGAAATCTATTTAAGAAATAAGGTATCATTTTTAAACATCTATCGGGATATAAATACGGGTCGGTCACGAGATTAAATTCCATAAAGCCCGAAGGGCTTTATGATGAATTTAATCTCGTACCGACCCATATTTATAGCCCGATAGAGGTTTTAAAATGATAGCTTATTACTTATATTTACAATTATGACTTATTCATACTTTATATTTGCCTGATTGTGACTTTTAACATGTAAAATGCATTATTTTTCAAACCCAATGTATGGAATCCACTGAACGCGCGTCGACCCTTTATGACGTCACTGAGAAATTACGTCAAACGTTTATCCATACGCACATCTATGACCTCTTGACCCCGTACCTGTATTTATACAGTTATAGATACGCATTGCTTTCAGTAGTGTTATATAAAGGAAAACATTTGCAAATGTAAATATTGTTATTTACATTGCGACTTGGGTCAGTTGAGTTGCCCATATAAGAATGTTTGCTCTACAGTTGCAAAGTTAAGAGTTGATCCTTATGTCGTGGGTTCGAATCCCACTGTGGGACATGGAGACCAGTCCTTCATATGCAATTTACTATATACAATGCACAATATTGATGGAGCTGAAAAGATTTGTCTGTACTCTGCACCTGGTAACAGAAAAAGTGTGCGATGATAGGTACACGTCACAGCAGGTGCGTGACATATACCATGTGATCAGAGGTAGCAGGGCAATCCGTGTCTAGAACTTCCAGGACTACTACATTCAGATAAAACAGTATAAACCGAGGTCCTGTGTCACAGTAGGTGCTGGCACAAAAAAGGTCCCTCACTGCTCAATGACCATAATTGCTGAGTATAGAATAAATTTAAAGCTCTCCACCAGCAAATGGTGGCGTCTCCATATGAATGAAAAATTCTTGAGAGGGACATTAAACAACATAAAAACTAACAAAAAACATTAAGTTAAAAGTCTGACTATTGATAAATTGTCTTGATTGGCTGATTTTATCTATGATTGGATGAAAACAATTTTTATGAAATAACTGTTATGTTGCAGATTATGCACAAGTTGAAGAAAGGAGCTGCTGTGGGATGGTAAAAAAAGTTCCAGGTAAAGGACAACCTTTTCCATTTATTTCAAAGGGGTATGAACATTGCATATTTACTGTGAAATCACAAATTTTCGTGGAGATTTAATTTTAGTTGTTTTCGAGGTGTAGAGAGACCCACAAATTCATGTCCATCACGAAATGTAAAGTGTTACACTTAAAACTACTCAACAATTCTTCAGACACAAAATCAAATTCCCAGGATCCAAATTTTTTCCTCAAACCATGAAAGTTTGAACCCACGAAAATATGTGATTTTACAGTAAGTATGTTCACCTCTGGGTCAATCTAATTAAAGTTAAATGTTAGATCTGCTCGCATACTTGCTACTCTAACATCTAACAATATCACATAGAGGGTCACATCTAAGGTAAAATTCGTAACAACTATAGACTTATTCCTTTCAACAAATATTCAGTGATTTTGCAGGCGACAATTTGATGGGATGATAGAATCTGACCTCTGACTTGACCCTCTGTGAGATGTTGTTACTGGATGTTAGTGTAGCAAGTATGCGAGCGGATCTAACGCCTCTGGGTTTTTTTTTTAAATTCACAGCTTTTAAGAGTTAGATTATAGATTCTAAATTTGAGAATTTCTACATTTTTTACTCAATCATCTGTCACCATGTGAAATACAAATTATGCTCTAGTTTTTAAAGAATTATTTGCACAATTTCAGGAGCAACAAAGAGTCTTGATTTTTATAGGGTTGCAGATTTTAAAGAAAGAAAACTGTGTTGTAAAGAAAGAAGAAGATTTTCACTCAAATAATGGTGGATGACAAAGGTAAAGAGGACAGTAATGGTTAGAAAGAATTAATTATTTAACACAGGGGCAGATTTTTTTGTCGCAGTTTGTAAATGCTATTCAAAATGAAATGAATTTTTATTAAAATATCATGATGAATGTTCATGCAACTTAATAGCTCTTATCAATGTTTATAGTTTAAGCATATGAAGATTAATCAAAATCTCTTGAATAGTTTCTTTAAAACTAAGCTTTACTCACTAATTTAAAGAAAGGTCAAGGTCAAAAGAAAGGTCAAATAAAATAATGATTATGAAGTTGAATAGATCCCATCAGTATGTATCTGGTACTTTCTGCACATATATAAGGTTCGATAAAAAATATCTGAAACAACTCTTGAAACCGAACTTAACATAATTTAACAAAAATTAATGTCAAGGTCAGAAATAAGAAACTTTTATTTATAAAATATATGTATAAGCATATGAGGTTCAAAGTGTGATGGAAGGACAGTAGGACATGTTATTAAGATTAAGTAAACCTCATTACAAATGTTTATGCTAAGGTGAAGCCACAATATTGGGTCATTTTTCATTGAAAAAAGGAACATTTTTTTTTAAATTCTGTGTAACACTAGAACCAAGTGACCTAGATAGCATTGTGGCCCATGGGCCTCTTGTTATGTGTTATTTAATTCATCATGAATCAGGTGGTATAATGATTTTTTATATTTCAGTTCTTCCTATGAATGATGTCATAACCCACTTTGAAAAAAAAGTTTGTTGGAGAGAAAAGGATCTGAAGAGGGAGAAAGAATTGATTATATTCAGATGGATTTATAGACTGTTAGACCTTTTGCTATCACTTAATTCTGTACTATTAGTTCCGCAACACTGAGCCTATAAGCTTTTGACTTGATGGTTTATCTAATTTGAGAGAGCATAGTCCAACACAATTAGGCATTTAAGACTGGAATGCAGAATATTATTTCTCTCATGTAATGGCAGGTAAAAATCCCACACAAACAGGACACTAATAAGACTGGAATTTAGAGATATTTCATTTCTCTCATTGTGTGAATTAAAAAAAAATTAATGCCAGAAACAATATAATAAATTAATAACTTAGTCTATATTTTGTGCTTTGTATGGTTATAACGAATTACAGATATAGCGAAGTAATTTCATAGGTCCCTGTGACATAAATGAAGTTTTGAGGGTATATAGTTTTTGTCATGTCCATCTGTCTGTCTGTTTATCTGCAAAAGCTTTAACCTTGCCCATACCTTTTGATTTTATTAGTGGAGCTATGACTTTCATATTTCACATATGTATTCTTTGTATTAAGACCTTTCATTGGATACCACCAACTTTGACCTTTTGACCTTGGAGATTTACATACTAATAAAAAAATAGCAAAGATTAAACTTTTCTTAAATGCAAATTTAATTAATTGGTACCAAAAGTAGGGTATTCTCACTGGAAAACAATTGTGAAATTTGAAAGTAGTCCAATGTTAAAGTACTTTCAATAAGTACAAATATCTCCAAGGTCAAAAGGTAATTGATATCCAATGAATCTTGCCACATAGGATACTTATGTAGAGTATGGAAGCCCTAGCCCTAACCATTCAGAAGTTATAGCCAAGGTTGAAAATTTTTAAAAGTATGTCAAACTCCAAGGTCAAGGTCAAAGTTCTTGTTATCAAATGAAAGGTCTTGTCACAAGGATTAAATGTGTAAAGTATGGAAGCACCAGCCCTAACCCTTCAAAAGTTATGGTCAAGGATTGCATTTTTAAAGTAGGTCAAACTTAAAGGTTAAGGTCAAAGGGTCAAAATGCTTGGTATCCAATGAAGGGTCTTCTCACAAGGATTACATATATGAAGTATGAAAGCCCCGTCCCTTACCGTTCAAAAGTTATAGCCAAGGTTAAAGTTTTTTTCACAGGTACGGAAATATACAAGGTCAAAGGGTCAAGGTTGTTGGTATCCAATGAAAGTTTTTTAGACAAAAAAACACATATGTGAAGTATAAATGTCCTGGTATCTACTGTTAAAAAATATGGCCAAAGTAAAAGTTAAAACTTTTCATGTAAAAGTGGGTAAAACTCCAAGGTCAAAAGGTCACATTTGGTGGTACCCAAAGAAAGGTCTTGTCACAAGGAATACACATGTGAAATATGAAAGTCATGGCTCTACCAAATCAAAGTTATGGGCAAGGTTAAAGTTTTTGCGGACAAACAGACAGATGGACACGACAAATACTATATACCCCAAAACTTCGTAAAAATCTTTAACATTGGCAATAACTTTTGAATTGCAAGGGGTAGAGCTTTCATACTTCACACATGTAATCTTTATGAGAAGACCCTTCATTGGATACCAAGAGCTTTGACCTTGGAGTTTGACCTACTTTAAAAAAAAACAAACCTTGACAAAATATATTAAAGGGTACGAGCTATTGCTTTCATACTTTAGTTTTTTAATCCTTGTGACAAGACCTATCATTTGATACCTAGACCTTTGACCTTGACCTCAGAGTTTGACTTACTTTTAAAAAAAATGTAACCAAAATTTTTAAACAGTTAGGGCTAGAGCATCAATACTTCACATGTGGCAGGATCATTTATTGGATACCAGTAACTTTGACCTTGGAGATTTCCTGACTTGTGAAAAAACTTTAACCTTAGCAATAACTTATAAATGGTAATAGGGCTAGGCTTCCAAGCCTTCCATACTTTACATATGAATTTTCTGTGGCAAGTCCTTTTATTGGATACCAAAACCTTGACCTTTTGACCTTGACATTCCAGGACTTATGAAAAAACATTAACCTTGGCAATAACTTTTGAAGAGTAAGGGCTAGGGCTTTTTTACTTCCCATAGGTATTTTTTGTAACAAGACCTTTCATTCAATACCAATAACTTTGAGCTTATGACCTTGATCTTGAAGATTTCTGTACTTATGAAAAAACTTTTGCCTGACCATAAATTGGGAACAGATGGTGATAGGGTTTTCATGTTTCACAATTGTATTTCCAGTTAGGAGACCCTACTTTGGGTATCAATATATTAAATTTGCATTTAAGAAAAGCTCAATCTTCACTATGTTGCCATACTGGGGCATCAATGTTTCACAAACATATCTTGTTTGGAAATCTACTTGCAAGAAAGTTTTTTTTTCAATACTAGATTTGAGTGCGAATTCCCTCTCAAGGTCAAGTACATGTATGTGAAGGTACTGCGTAACTCATTAAAAGGCATATGTATACAGATTACAGATTATCAGACATAAATATGGAGCCCACTTTTTTAATTTTTAAGTACACATACAGTATATATATAGGCCATATAGTAGCTCCCATATTTTGAACATGTATTTCCAATGTTGGTGAACAATATTTGGGTCTACAAGTATCACATGTATATGACAGAGCTCCAACTTTTCCAACATGCCTTCCATTATATGTTTGTCATTCAAGTCCAAAAGAACACCAGAAAAAATCACAATTTAATATCCATTTAATCACACATCATTACCAAACAACTTTAAATAAAATAAATGTGCAAATTACTTTCAGGAAAATTTTTAAAAAAAATCTAATTGCAAAATATTCAAATAAAAAATGCCTCAATATTTTGGTAAATATATATAATATACAGAGTTAACAAGAGGCTCAGGGACCAACTGGTTCACCTACACACTGTGGCTAAGAAAAAAAGCAAAAATCAGATTAGTATTGACAAGAGGCCCAGGGGCCACAGCGCTCACCTGAGCACATCGGGCTTGAATTTACTCCCCCCCCCCCCCCCCCCCCCCCTCCAGGCGGTCATCATTTGAACAAACTAGAATCTACACTACCTGAGGATGATTCCATATAAATATCACTAATCATATTAAGCTTTGAAGTACTTGAAAAGAAGATTTTAAAAGGTTTCCCTATATTTCCTTATGTAAAACTTGGGTCGGCCGTTTTGGCCCCACCCTAGCCCCGGGGGTCATGATTTGAACAAACTTGAATCTGCACTACCTGAGGATGATTCCACATGAGTTTCATCTTTCCTGGCTCAGTGGTTCTTGAGAAGAAGATTTTAAAAAAATTTTCCTATATATTCCTATGTAAAACTTGGGTCGGCCATTTTGGCCCCACCCTACCCCCGGGGGCATGATTTGAACAAACTTGAATCTACACTACCTGAGGATGATTCCACATGAGTTTCATCTTTCCTGGCCCAGTGGTTCTGGAGAAGAAGATTTTTAAAGATTTTTCCTATATATTCCTATGTAAAACTTGGGTCGGCCATTTTGGCCCCACCCTTGCCCCGGGGGTCATGATTTGAACAAACTTGAATCTACACTACCTGAGAATGATTCCACATGAGTTTCGTCTTTCCTGGCCCAGTGGTTCTGGAGAAGAAGATTTTTAAAGATTTTTCCTATATATTCCTATGTAAAACTTGGGTCGGCCATTTTGGCCCCACCCTTGCCCCGGGGGTCATGATTTGAACAAACTTGAATCTACACTACCTGAGGATGCTTCCACATGAGTTTCATTTTTCCTGGCCCAGCGGTTCTGGAGAAAAAGATTTTTTAAAAATGCCATTAATTTTTAACAAATTCATGATTATCTCCCCTTGGAATAGGGCATGGCCCTTCATTTGAACAAACTTGAATCCCCTTTACCCAAGGATGCTTTGTGCAAAGTTTGGTTGAAATTGGCCCAGTGGTTCTTAAGAAGAAGTCGAAAATGTGAAAAGTTTACGGACAGACGGACAGACAGACGGACAGACGGACGCCGGACAAAATGTGATCAGAAAAGCTCACTTGAGCCTTCGGCTCAGGTGAGCTAAAAAACTTGAATGCATAAATGGTCCTGACATACCCCTAAAAGGGAGGGGTATGATTTGACAAAATTGAACCTACACTAAATAAGGAAGCTTATATATTTTTGACTGTGGCCTTTTTTCCTAAAAGTTTGAACTCTCAGTGTGGCCCCACTCTACATCCAGGGGGTCATGATTTGTACAATGTACAAACTTGAATCTACCCTATCTGACAATGATTCCACATGAGTATTCACCTTTCTTGGCCCACTGGTTAAATAGAGTATCAAATGTAAATATTTCAATAATGAAAATGTGTCAAAATGCATCACTTCAAATGAAGTGTTAAATAATGATAAAAAGACAAAGTTCATGGAACAGGAACAACACATGCAATCTTCAATTTTCATCAAGAATTCTCTGAAATTTGACAAGACTCTTTTTTTTCTTCCAAGTTATTCACATTGCAACTTTTTGTCCAGACCGGCACACTCTTCCAAGGAGATTTCTCTGATATTTATCACGGCTGTGTTTTCCTTATCATCCAACTGCCAGATTTTTGTCCATGCATATAGGTCTAAAACTCATGATGTGCTCAAAGTCTGTCAGGGTGAAGTTCAAACTCCAACATCAAATTTTTGGTTCCTGAACCCTGAAAAATAACATTAAAACACAAGAGTCTTTATAATTATTGACACAAGAGTCTTTATAATTATTGACACACATAATCATGGGAAAACTTGGTAGGGTGGAAAAGTTTCTTCATGATAATTATGACAAGTGGAGGACTCCCAATGTGACAACAAACTGGGTTTTTCTTGTGTGAACTGACTTGGCATAAAATTCTTACATGAATAAAAAATGTACATTTGCAAGAGTTGTTTCCCTTTATCAAAAATAAAACCTCCCTATTTTCTCACAATATCCTTTGTAACTTGCATGAATTAAAAAAAAAATATTTTAAACTTCTTTTGACAATTTCATAACGGCAAAGTATGGGGAGAAAAAAAAAACCTTGCAAAATGAACAAAACACTAGGATATTTTGCACAGAAATGATGAAGGTCAAATAAAGACCCATGGGTCACATTGCTCACCTTAGCTCTTTGGTTTTCAGTAT